TGAGCAACTTTTTCCAGCTGACTGGTCAACCTCATGGAAGACACAGGGACCATGATCTGTCCCGCCCACCCCCATTTCCCACTCCCTGGGACCACTTTATCTAGTTGATTGCCTGAGCCTCCACTAACACCTCGCCCTCCACTCAGCCAATGTCTGTCTGTATTTCTGCTGTTTGGTTTGGCTTCCAAAGACAAGAGAAAATGCAAAATGCAAATAACTCAAAATGATAATTAAATATTATAAGCTTAATTTGATTGAGAATAGTCTGCATCATTAAATCCATATGTTCTCTTCCTTAGTATGAGGAGCCTAGCTACTCTCAAGGAAGAAATATACAGTATATCTTTTATACATGGCCCATGAGGAAGTGAGGGAGGTGAAGAACAAATGGCATGGATATCTGTAGGGAAGGAGACAAATAGGGGCAGAAGCAGTTTTCCATTCACACTTTGAAAGTATAGTACAGTTAATTATGGTCTTTTGAGGATAATCTTTATAGCTCCCATACAACGAACAGGTGGGACTGTGCAAATACAGTATATGGACCCTGCATTGGTTAAGGTTGTACGTCAAGATCTCCAGGCTACGATCACTGATCTTTAGGAGCGTTGGACAGTAGTTTAGAAAAGGTGGATATCTGTTGCGTCTTTTACTTCTACTTCACAGAAACCAGCTTTTGGCTGATCCTTGTTGTAAAAACTAGTCATTCAATGGGTGGCAGTGTACTAGGAGCCCCAAAAGGTCTCTAACCCAGTCCCAGGTCACTGTACCCACTCAAATGCATACATGGCTTTGGGTCCCCAGCTGAGGACTACAACAGAAGAATGCAGACCCTTCCTCAATCCTTGTCTTGAGTAACTAACTGAGCCTCTGTTTCAAATGGCCCCAGATGGGACTTTTCGTCACTGAATCCCCCGCCTGGGGTGAATGAAGCCCCTCCTCATGGCATATTTCATTGCTACTTCATAACTGTAATTTTGCTACTGTTATGAATCGGGCGACCCCTGTGAAAGGGCCATTCACTCCCCAAAGGGGTCGCGACCCACAGGTTGAGAACCACTGGCATAATGGGTTTTGCCTAGCGCTGCTGACCACAAACACAGCAGTGTGAACTGGGAGAAAGATTTACAGCCTCAGAGGGGACGATTCCACTCTCTGCTACGGGGTCTGAGTCGGAATGGACAAGAGGGTAGTAGTGAGTGTCTTTTTGACTGGGGTGGGGAGAAT